TAGAGGATGGTTAGCAGCATCCCTGGCCTCTAACCACTTGATGCCAATAGCACCTCCCAATTGTGACATGCAAAAATATCTTCAAATATTGTCAGATGTCCCTTGATCTGGGGTGGGAGGTGGTGTTGCAAAATCACTCCTGGTTGCAAGAGAGACTCACATGAAAAAGTTCCACTTGGAACTTAATATGAAGAATTTAGTATGCTTGATAAAAGAAAGTGCATCACCAGTTTAAGCAGAGATGTGGGTTATAACAAGTTGTGTGTTTTTCTCTGGCTTCGGCTGTTTGGAAGCTCAAAGCTGAGTTTCATGTTTACTGCGTTAACTATGCCTCAATTTTCAGGACTGATCTTTTATTGCTAATATAACGATTATTTTGGAAATGGCTTCACGTAGTTTGAAGAGATTGGCAGGCAAAATGTTGCCATATGAAACTCCTGGTAGTGGTAACAAACAGCACAAGAGGCTCCATTTTCAGTGGTGCAAGTTAGGCTCCCTGAAGCATCTTTGAGGGCAGAGAACAGCAGTTGTGGGAGCTGGAGAAAACAGGGAAGGCATTGTTCAGTAATGCTGGACATACTTTGCAGGGAGCATACAAGAGGTATTCCTTTGGGTTTTCCTGTGCCAGAAATAATTGTGGGATGCTTTCTGAGAGTTGGGTGGGGAGCTGAAGTACAGAAATCAAGCTAGTGGGGGTTCAAGCCATAGTAATTTGGGTGTTAAAGTTAATGTCTACTTCCAGTTTGGAGACAAAAGAATGAAGTCATTTCTCTCTTCTCTGGGAAATCACCCAAAAGCAAAAAGGAGAATGAGAAAAAGAAGTGCAAACTCCAGCTTCAACAAAACTAGGAGACATCTCAAACTCTTAACTCTAAATTGAGTGAAAGAGTTGAAAAAGTAGTGAATATGGAATGAGAGAGTACAGGAAGATGGCTGTTTTTGCAGGATCTGAGAAAGTTAGTCAGAGTGTCTTCTTAAAGGTGAGGCCATTTGCAGGACCAGTCTGTCAAAGTGGCAGGAGGGACAAAAAGAGAAACCTGACATTCTGAACAGCTCTAGAACATCTGATGTTCACAGGCAGGACTACAAAGGTTCACACATACGACCTTGAATCATAATAAATTTCTGCTAGCCTGGATCCTCTCCAACATGAAAATCCTACAAATACCTTGGAGGAACCTCATTTGAAGATGACTCATCAGTTTTCCTCATCTAGGTAAATGGCAATTCCATTCTAAGAGCTCATTCTGGACTCCTATCTCACATGCTACATCCAATCTTTATGCAAATACTGTTGGCTCTACCTTCAAAATATATCCAGAATCCATTTCTCACTACTTTCACTACTACCACTATTAGCACCCTAGTCCAAACCCTTGTGGCTCACCTAAAATACTGCCATAATTTCATAACCATGCTCTCCATTTTCGCAGTTGGCTCCCTACAGTTTTTTGGGGGGGTGGGTGGGGGGAGGGAGGACAGTCTTGATCTCTTGCCTGAACTAGAGTATGGTGGTGTCAGCCTAGCTCAGAGCAACCTCAAATTCCTGTGCTTAAGCGAACCTCCTGCCTCAGCCTCCCAAGTATCTGGGACTATAGTCGAGCACCACCACACCTGGCTAATTTTTTTCTATTTTTAGTTGAGACAGATCTAATTTCTTCAATTTTTTGTAGAGATGTGGTCCCTCTCTTGCTCAGGCTGGTCTCGAACTCCTGACCTCAAGCAATCCTTCCACCTCAACCTCCCAGAGTGCTAAGAATACTTGTATAAGCCACCACACCCAGCCTCCCTACAATATTTTTAACACAGCCGCCTAAGCACTATTAATTAGATCATGTCACTAATTTAAAACTCTCCAAGCTCTTCTCATTCTCCTCAGAATAAAATCCATAGTTCATACCATGGCTCTAATGATCTTAATTCCTGCTCTCTTTTAACTTATCTCATAACCCTCTGCTGTCCCTAGCTTATTCTAGTGATTTCATTGCATCTTTACCTTGTTTTAATATTTACTACCACCTGAAATATTTGTGTCTCCCCCTCCACTAGAATGTAAGGTTTGTTAAAGCAGGGCCTGATTTTGTTCTCTTTACAGATGTTCTCTATACAGACAGAAAGGATACGAAAGTTATCTTTTGAATTCCTTCACGTGTTCCAGGAGGGTGTATATTCTACTGGTTAACAATGGCAAGTACTGCTAACAAGTCAAGTAAGGAAAAGAACTGAAAAGGATCTGTCTTAGGAAAAAGAGAATCACTGATTTGATGAAAGTAGTTTTCAGGGTGTTTGTGTCAAGGGTGGGTAAAAGCCATATTGGAATAAAATGAGGCAGGGGATGGAAGGGAGGGAAATAGAGACAGTAATAGCAACAAGTTATTAAAATTGGATATAGGTGTGGGAAGGATTACAGCTGAAGTATGTGGTACCTAGGAGCAATTTTTTTAAAAAAGATGTTAAATACTTGAACAAATGCTCACAGAAAAAGGTCAAAAGATTTGAGAGGAAGGCTCAAGGGAAGCTAATCACTAGGCTCACAAGGTGCAAAAGATTAATAGTGCCCAGCACTTACTGATATTACCTATCTATGCACTAAAGCTTTTTGCTCATTTTATCTCACACTAACCACTCAAGGTGGTTACTGTTGCTATATTCATTTTACTGATTCAGAAAGGAGACCCAGAGAGACCAAGTTATGCTCAAGGTCACTCAGTGTATCATTGAGGTGGTAAAGTTGGGATATGACCTATAGCATTTGTCCATGTCTCTGGATTTAGTTGAAGTTCAGGGAATTTCTGCCTGAAGGCCTCTACTTTTATATAAGACAGAAGGCAAGGACATGTTAAGAATGAAAGAGGGTTAACAAGGTTCAGAGTAGAGGTTTGTTTTTTTTTTTTTTGATTCAGAGTCTCGCTTTGTTGCCCAGGCTAGAGTGAGTGCCGTGGCATCAGCCTAGCTCACAGCAACCTCAAACTCCTGGGCTCAAGCAATCCTGCTGCCTCAGCCTCCCGAGTAGCTGGGACTACAGGCATGTGCCACCACGCCCAGCTAGTTTTTTCTATATATATTAGTTGGCCAATTAATTTCTATTTATAGTAGAGATGGGGTCTCACTCTTGCTCAGGCTGGTTTTGAACTCCTGACCTTGAGCAATCCGCCCGCCTTGGCCTCCCAGAGTGCTAGGATTACAGGCATGAGCCACCAGAGTGGAGGTTTTAAACAGTAAAGCAGAATGGGAGAAGAGCTGACTAGAGAAAATAAGGATTACAGGCAGTGTTAGGTCAGTTAAAACCAATTTTTACTAACAAAGATTTGTTCTTTCTGCAGGAATAATTTGTAAGGGTTTGGATACTGCCTGGAATTTTTCCAGAAGGTATGACATTAGGAAGGGTTATCTGGGAGACTGACAATCACGATACTGAATTGATACATCAGTAAGTCTAGACAGGCTTATAAAGCAGGTGAAAACAGCCTATGGCCTTACTTGGAGCAGATGTAAAGGAATAGAGTAATAAGTCAAAAGTGAGATTTTTAGTGATTTCAGAAGTAAAGTTGTTTCTGGGTATTCAAAATATACAGAATATGGCTATAGTGGAGAGAAGTAATAATTAACACCCTATGTGTAAGTAGTAATTGAAGCTAACCAGGTAGCTGAAATTTCCTCAAAATTTACTCAAAGAATGTGACCTATTTTTCTGTTGTCAAGCTATGGTTTACTTATTTGATTTTTTTCTGTACTTTCAATTCTCCCAGATTTTAAAAGTTATACTTGAGGACTTTTAACCTAATATAAGCATTGCAATCTGTTCCTGAATACATTGTCAATAAAAAGACTGTGAGAGCACTGGTACAGGTAAACACTTGAATATAGGCAAACACTTGAAAGAAGTGTATTTCAGGTATGCAATTATCAATGATATAGAAAAGCTGCCACCAAACTTTCCCATGAACAGTATGTTTTCCCACTGATACTTTTTTAGTAGGGATATCAAGATGGCATGACATCAGTCTTCTTTTAATGTTATTTTTCCACTTTGCTAAGGAAAAAAACCCCAATGTTTATGCTTAAGAGACACCATGATGTTTAATGTGGTGCTGGAACACTAGGTCACATGGATCAACAGATCTAAATTTATTACAACCCTAAACTTTGTTAGCATCCAATACATGAATTATAATAATTGAAATCAGAATTTCTCTATTTAGAGATGAAGAAAAAAGTCTTCTAGTATAGTTATTTCAGAAGAAGGTGTTTCTATTTACATTATTAGAATCAAGACTTAACCCAGCATATTTAAACAATGAACTGATGAAAATACTTTTTAAAACATAATACCATTCTCTCTTCCTCCCTCTTTCATTCTTAAACATAAATCAGTCTTCACTTTCTACTTAAAATGCAATGAGCAACCACGCAAACTAGGTATTTGAAAATCAATAGGCAAACTAAAATTGTTGAATAAATCCAAACTTCTTTAAACCAAGTTATTTCTTAAATGTCACACATATTGTCAACCACCCACTGACTCATATTTTACTATGGAGAGTAGCACCTATTTTAAAACAATGTGAGAAACTAAAACAAAAAAAAACTTGAGAGTTTGATGTGAAAAATATTGCAAGATGGAGTCTATCAACCAGAAACCACCTGTTCTAGTTGCTATACTCCTAATGCATTCTTAATTTCAAAACACAGAAATAATTTTTTAAAAATCCAACATGGCAAATACCTAAGTATCTAGATGTGTAACAGTTCAGCTCACAGGCTTGACTCAAGACTCTGAACTTATTACTTAGAAAGATTAAGATTTTGGATCTAATTATTCAAAGATCCACTGACTAACCCATAATGCAGTTTGTGTTAACTGGCTGTACAAATCAAGCACATAACAGCAGTCAGATGATTCTAATCTCCGTCCAACAGAAACAGCAATAAAATTAGAAAGTAATATTCCTTTTTAGTAATTAGATAATCAATATAACAGCACTGGAATATAAAATGAATAGAATTTCTTACTCCGGCTTCTTTAATAAACTTGTTCCTCATTTTTACATGAGGATAAAGGTATCACAACCAAATATGGGAAACTGTTTTCTTTTTATTTAGACTTTTGGGACAAAATTAACTTTGGTCACATAGTATCTAAAAAAAAAAAACAAAACAAAACCAGTTTTACATATTTTTCAATAGGTAGGACTAAATGACTACAGAATTAACTCGTTCTGTAAAAACTGGCCAAATTTTATCAAAAATCTAACAAAATGTAATTCAAATTATATAAAGACTGCTTGGGATCATAACATTCAAAATGTATGACAGTTGTTACTCCATCCTAATAGGTGTGAAGTACTTGCTCTCTTGTTGCTTTGGTCCAAAGAGCAGAGTAAGAGGAAACTAATATTTTGCTAACATTGTGATTGGCAGCAGAAATATCCATGATGAATAGTTCTACTATAACAAAGGATAATTAAAGAATATTTCTCATGAACATATCACAGTATCAAATTTTTATAAGAGAAAAATATGAAGGAACAAAAATGATAAAATAGCTACCACAAACAAAAAGAAGAGTCTCCCCCATAACGGCATCTGAAGGGGTAAAAAGGTGAGATTAGAGGGTTGATGATGCTAATATGAAAGGAAGTTGAGTACTGTATTTATTTCTTATTTTATACAACTCTTACTCTTTACAAAAAGGTTATAGTCATGCCCATAAAAGTGTAACCAATGGCATTTGAAAGCAAACACTCTTTGTAATTATTTAAAAGGGCCTTTTTAAAAATTATAATACAAAGGTCTGTGCTCTATAAGCAGTCCTCCACTGTGCATTATAACAATAAGGCTTACTTTTAATACAAAGACTGAGTGTTTGGAAGTTATGAACCACTGGATTTAACAAACATCATTTTATAGTTGCTTTTTGCATCTTTTTTGTTTTTGGGATCCTCCACCTCATCAGGGTGCTCAGTAGCTTGGAGTTCTTCAGCAGATTCTTCTTTCTCTGACTCTGAATCACTTTCAGAGTCATCTGGACTTTCAGGATCAGGTGAATCATCATCATCATCGTCATCATCTCCAGCCACATCACCTTCTCCATCATGATCTTCTACCTAAAACATTAACAGACTCTTTTAAGAATAAATACTATTAGCCAGTATAAAAACTGAGAAAGACCCCAATTTTTATCAATCTTAAGAATAGTCCACTTTGTTTTAAGACTATATTATAATCAGAGGCTGCTAAGGGAAGAACTGAGGAATCAAACACATTTCGTGTGTTTTATACTTGAGACTGCAGTAGGATTTTAAGAACTCTGATAACCACTCACTTGTTCCCTCATCCTCCCAGTTTGAAAACCATTGTTATCTTCCTGAAATAATATTTTTTAAGTAAATAAGGCAAGTTAACCACTAATCTTTATGTGGAAATCAACTATCAATGTTTTACATATTATACTGAGTAAACAGTAACACATTATTTGTAATATGAAGAGATCACCTAGGAAACAACTGAGAAAGAACTCTCCTAAACCAGTATTTTAACCTTATATGAGAATTTTTTTTTTTTTTGAGACAGAGTCTTACTGTTGCCCGGACCAGAGTGCCGTGACATCAGCCTAGCTCACAGCAACCTCGAACTCCTGGGCTTAAACAATCCTTCTGCCTCAGCCTCCCAAGTAGTTGGGACTATAGGCATGCGCCACCATGCCCGGCTAATTTTATTTTTATATATATATTTAGTTGTCCAACTAATTTCTTTCTATTTTTTTTAGTAGAGACGGGGTCTTGCTCTTGCTCAGGCTGGTCTCGAGCTCCTGAGCTCAAACGATCTTCCCACCTTGGCCTCCCAGAGTGCTAGGATTACATGCGTGAGCCACCACATGCGGCCTATATGAAATATTTTATCTAACTTGTGAACATGTTGTTCATGCCTATTAAAAATGTGCCCTAATGATTAGGCAGAATTTACATTAAGCTGGTATTAGAAAATCTATTTTTAAATCCTTAAAAACATCTCTTCTGAATTATCTACAGGGACTCAGTAAGGCATATAACAATTATTTTAAGTAACTGTATAAAGGGAGCTGTATACATAGAGTTTTTGATTGCTAGGGTAATCCAACAAAAATAAACGGTATCAAATTGAAAATTATTTTCCCAGTCAATGAAAATAAGTTAATTACTACCTCACTGAAGCCAAGTCCACAATGTCGCCGATATCTTCCTGATAATTTACTGTCCATACTTTGCTGATATTGAGACTCCAGTTCTTCATTAATTTTCTTGTCTTCTTCCCCTGCATGTCCAGTGTACTTTGGTTATGTTTAGTCGAATTAACAAAAACATTTGATTACACAAAAAAACCCATAATACAGATGCTATTATATTCAGGGCTGATTTCTCTAATTATGACTAATTTTATAATGAATTTTGTGAATATGCTTTTATATCACAGGTGGTTACCTAATAGACAATAAAAATAATTTCTATGTGATAATTCAAACAAAAAAGTCTCAGAAAGAGTTGCCTCAAGATAAATGTTAATTACTAAGCACTTTGTCTATTAAATGTTTTAGCTTATTTACAGTATAACAAATGAATGTTCTCCTTAAAGTTTTCTCCTAGTCACCTAAAAAAACTCCTGCAACAAACAAAAGCATCTGACTTTGAACAGAAATAGTGAAAAAACGCAGGCAATCTTGTTTAGAGAATGGCTAAATAAAACAATCCTATGATGGCTCTTCTTTCTGCCTCTCTTTGCATATCACGTTTACTGAAGCAACATTAACTTTAAAAAAAATTTTCTTATGCGGCATTTGAGATATATATGTTTTATATTTATTCTATTGTATCCAAGTTATAAAGCAGAACACTAAACAATTACTAAACCTACCACTCAAGAACAAGAATATTACCAATACCACTGGAGCTTTCCGTGCATGATTTTTTACTTTTGGAGATAGGGTCTCTGCTCTGTTCCCCAGGCTTGAGGGCAGTGGTATCATAATAACTCACTCCAGTTTTAAACACCCAGGTTCAAGTGAGCCTCATGCCTCAGCCTTCCAAGAAGCTAGGGCTTCAGGTGTGCACCATCATGCCTGGCTAATTTTTAAAAGAATTTTTATAGAGACAAGGTCTGGCTACACATTGCCCAGGCTTGTCTCAAACTCCTGACCTCAAGCAATTCTCCTGCCTCAGCCTCCCAAGATGCTGGGATTACAGATATGAGCCACCACTCCTGGCCTATATTTTAATTTGTAAATACAAATATAAAAAGGAATTTCAGATTTAATTACAAAGGGTATTTGCCTTATTTTTAATGTTTCCAATTTTAAAAGAGTAAATGCAACAGCTGAAATATTTTTCCATTCTGCAAAGCTCAGGATACTTTTTGCCTTATACAGCAATGCAAATTAATTTGAAGTAATTATTTCACACCAGAAAAATAAAAGATCTATTAATTTTTAAAATGTGCTACATATGCTACATCAGTATAAAGCTATTCAAAGTTTTGTTAAATTTAATCTAGGTCATTTGGCCTTGTTATTAATGTTCAAGATTAGGGTCCATTTTATTTTTTTGAGACAGAGTCTTGCTCTGTTGCCCAGACTAGAGTGCAGGGGTAGCATCATAGCCCACTGAACCCTCAAACTCCAGGGTTCAAGTGATCCTCCCACCTCAGTCTCCCAAGTGGCTGGGGCTACAGGTGAGTATCACCATGACTGGCTAATTGTTCTATTTTTTTGTAAAGACGAAGTCTTGCTATGTTGCCCAGGATGGTCTCAAACTCCTGGGCTCAACCGATCCTCCTGCCTTGGCCTTTTGAGTAGCTGGGATTACAGGTGTGACCCATCATGGCTAGCCTATGGTTAATTTTTATATAGGTGATAATTTCACCTTTCAGCAGACTGAATTAAAATTTAAATTCATTTTCAGTTTAAAAAAACTTTCCATAAAACTATTATTTTTTTAGACACAGTCTCACTCTGTTGCCTGGCTAGAGTGCCATGGCATCAACCTAGCTCACAGCAACCTCCAACTTGTCGCGCCCGCCTCGCCAGCAAGGAAGACGCGGCAACCGGAGTTCTTCTGACCGTGCTTTAATGGGGTTCCCTTTAGGCTTACATGATACGGAAGACGCTGAGGCATTCTCAGCGGCTGCTTATAAAGGCAGTAAGTACACTGGGCATTGTCTGATTGGATAAGGCACTTGGAAGGGAGGAGACAAACTCTGCACATGCGCTGAGCACTTGTTTGTCAGACTAACAGCAGGGTTTGACCAAGAAGCGGGCGCCATCTTGGAATGGCGTTGCCACCGCGCCCCACACCAACTCCTGGGCTCAAGTGATCCTTCTGCCTCAGTCTCCCAAGTAGCTGGGACTATAGGCATGTGCCAACCATACCCAGCTAATTTTTTCTATATATTTTTAGTTGGCCAATTAATTTCTATTTTTTAGTAGAGACGGGGGTCTTGCTCTTTCTTGCTTAGGCTGGTTCCGAACTCCTAACCTTGAGCAATCCACCTGCCTCGGCCTCCCAGTGTGCTAGGATTATATGTGTCAGCCACCGCTCCCAGCCCATAAAATTATTTTTAATAAGTTTATTTCTTCATGCTCTGCAACTAGTTTATATTCTTCAAAGATTTCAGAAAAAAACTTAGTGAATAAACTCCAAACCATAACAGTATGCCAACTATAACATATGCTAAATAACTTATATAGAGAAAAAAATTCTATATATGCCACAGTTGGCAAGATAAGGCATAAAACCTCACTACAATTAAAATATATGTTTTGAATCAAATCAGTAAACATAAAGACAAAAAAAGGTTAGTTTCTTGGTTAGAATATCATATTGATATATCTTCTACCTTCTTTTATCAAAGTATGTGATACTTGATACTTTATGCGATATATATAACATGTTTATGTATTACACATTTCCAAATCCATTTCCTTGTATTTTAATCATTTTATTTTACACAATTATATACAGAAGTTAGAATATCCCAAAATATGTATAAATATTCCAAATTTAACACCTCCAGTCTAATTATATTTTACTTTCTTACCTGTTCGGAAGTGTGATGTTGATTTGTGATCTCCTATAACAAGACGACCAGTATGTTCTTTCTATAAAAAGGTTGAAAATCTATTAGAATTTGAGACTACTAATTTAACACTATTTGGTGTTTGTGTCAGGAACTATTACAATTCCAGGTTTCTGGGATACACTGAAGACAAAAGACTAAATTAAAGTCCCTCCCTTTAAGGAGCTTACATTCTAGCAAGGGTAGGAATGGGGAGGGGAGACACAAAAACATAATAATTATAATATGTTAGAAGGTAGTAAGTGGAATTAAAAACAGTCAGGTGTGGAGATCAGGTTGGAATTTTAAATGAGAAGGATATAAAATAAGAAAACTGAGTCAATCTAACATTTTTCTTTCTAAAAGGCCAGTAAAATGAGTTGCTTTAACTTTCCCACCTTCTCTTTCTGACTCAAATATATCTCATGAAGAGAAAGCAAACAAAATTTAGCAAAAATGAAAAAACACACTTATAATGTACAAAGTGATAGATTTTAAAATATATAGCATAGTCAACTAGCTAGCTCTTTACTATTTGACAATAAACTGCTACCTCAACCTGTCAAAAAGAACAGAATTAAAAACAATGTAGTTTTCACTCCAGTACTTTCTATGAAAAAAAGAAAAAAAAAAACAATGTAGTACTATAAAACATAAAAATAAATGATTCAAAGTTACCAATTAATCAGGCTATATAAGTACTCTCAATTTATTAGTCCAATTCACTTTTTATGGTTCATATTTAGTTTCATGAGAAATAAATTGTTCATTAAAACAGAGTGAAGGCAAGGATTAAATGGGACTTTGCAAACCATTATTAACCAATCATCTGTAAAGATGATAGTAACAAGTCTTCCTGAAACAATGGCAGAGACATTCTCCATACGCAAGCATGATACTAGTGAAAAGCTTCAAGCATTAATCCTCATTGCCTTATATGCCGTTAACACACAAAGAAATCAATCACTCAATGTGCTGCTAACTTTAGACTGCAAAACAGATACCCCATTAACAAGAATTGAATATAAATATAATGGAATTAAGTTATTCTAGGGTGATGATAATATTGCACTGATCTATTCATACTTCTTAGCTGGTTCTCCCTGTGACCAATAAAATATTCATGGCAGCTGGCTAGGATTAGGATTACACTTTCTGGCCATAAAACAGAATAAATCTAAACAGCCCATATGAAGGTAAAAGCTATAATCTTGGCCTTGCTTGCAAAGAATTTCATGTATGCTAAACAATCCATTTACTGATAGCCAAATTTTATATTAGGATATTCTTCTTAAGTATTTGAAGAGTTTTCATTCTACCAGGTTGACTATGCATACCCCCTAAACTATTAATTACATTATATATCATTAGCAAATCTTTTACATTAAATCCTCACTTAACTTCATCAATAGGTTCTTCAAAACTTTGACTTTAAGTGAAATAATGAATAACAAAACCATTTTTTCCCCTCATCAATATCATAATAAAATAACTTTATTTGAAGACACACTCTATGTCAGTTTGCTTAAACTCAGTTTCCAAGAACCTATAGAGGATGTTAAGTGAGGACTTAATGTATTTGCAAAAACCAAGACTACTTTCTATGACAAATTACTGGAAAATCTGGTTTAATGAGATAGTATACAAATGCTTCCTTTCAATAGGTCTCAATGTTTTACATGACCTCTTCCTATCCCCAATCCTACTGTTGTAGTATAGCAAACGCCTTCTCATCCTTTCAGATTCAGATCAATTCTATTTCTGGGATGCCTTCTCATACTGCTACACCAGAATTAGCTATCCTTTTGTGTGATCCCACAGCACTACATGCATGGCTTTCTCATAGTAAGTATAATTCTGTATTGTTATTATCTGGTTTCCTCCATTGCATGATGGCTCCAAACATGTATTTTTGCTCTATGTGATCCCAAGACCCAGCACAGTACCTGGCATGCAGTAGGTAGTTAATAATTTTTGGCAAAATGCATGTATGTATTCCCATATGTATAACAAAACAAAGGGCAGAATTTCATTTTAAGATGCTTAAAAGAGAAAAAAATGTTTTCCTATTTCTTTCCTATTTAGTTCGTAGAAAGACTATTGGGACAATGTTAGAAAAATAATTACTTGCTTATAAAAAATAAATGTCCACAGACCACTGTATTTATGTGTAAAAATAAATTGCTAGGATAAAGGTTTTTACAATAGGCGTTTTCCTGGCATCTGTATTTTATTCAGTTGACCACTGAACAACATGGGTTTGAACTGTGTGGGTCCACTTATGCTCAGATTTATTTCTGTCTCTGCTACCCAAGACAATAAGACCAATCCTTCCTTCTCCAGCTTACTCAACATGAAAATGACGATGAAGACCTTTATTTTGATCCATATCCACTTAATGAATAATAAATATAATTTCTTTTATGATTTTAATAACATTTCCTCTACTCTAGCTTACTTTATTGTAAGAATGTAGTATATAACACATGTAACATACAAAATATGTGTTAACTGACTATTTACATTATCAGTAAGCCTCCAGTTAACAGTAGGCTATCAGTAGTTACGTTTTTGGGGAATCAAAAGTTATATGCAGATTTTTGAATGCACGGGAGCCGGTACCCCCAACCCCTGCATTGTTCAAGGGTCAATTGCACCTTTCTATTACATTAATCAAACTGAGAGGCATTTCAAAATATCTTGAACATTTTTAGAATTGGAGGTTTTTTTCCCTAGTGGTCTATACATTCAGAGAAACTTCACTATAGAAATAATCCCTTGGTTACTACTTCAAGGGCTGGAGGGAGGTATAAAATATGATACACTTTTGACTTTGACCAAGTTCCCACAAGATAACCTGCCCAGAAGAAACATTTTCTATTAAATCACCGGGCTAGCAGATGACAAGTCCTAAGATTCAACATCCTTTTTTTTCACAGAGAATCCTTGAACCAAATTTTTCCTCTGTATAGTCTCCAAACTTCACTGATAGAAGGCACTGAGAATCCTACAAGTAGCTCAGAAATAATATAAATTTTAAGTGGTTGGTTAGGTTGGGTGTATTTCCTAAAGCCAAAAGTAAACATGCAAAATAAGAAAATGGGATCCAAGTGTATTCAGTTCTTCTCACTAAACATACACACAAAAAAACCGGCATTATTTTTCACAGAAAAGATAAATGCATACCATCCAATGCTTACCTTTCCTGCACCCATCAGTCTCAAGAATTTTTGTTTTCTCTCTTCATTACCCAAGTCTGCTGCCTCCCAATTGCTAGATCCAAGCTAAGAAAGAAATTAGTACATTAATATTTTTAGCATTAAAAATAAGTATTAAAAATTTTAAACCTGTAATGCCAAGGGTTTAACTATACATAGGTACATTTTTCTTGCTTAGAACGTTAAGCCTATATACTATATTCAAATTTACTCTGTTTCTATTGCCTCACAGCAGAATCCTTTAGTTAGTTCTTGTGCAGCCAGAGCTCTGGGTCTCAAAAAGTTTGCTTGTATCAGATCACTTAGTTTATTAAAACAACCCCAGAGATTCTGATTCAGTCGGTCTGGGGTGAGAACTCAAGGATTTGAATTTCTAACAGATTCCTAAGTGATGCTGATGCTGTTGATGTGGAGACTATACTTTGAGACTCACTGCCCTAGAGCCTTGCAGGGCCCTAGAGCATCTAGCACTTTGAAACTAGAAGGCTGCCACAGTTGCTGGTTGAAGTTAAAAATTCTATCTTTAGTGATATTCTAAGGGACAGGATATCAACACATTCCACTAGACCCAATTTTAATTTTTTGTTTTTTTTAGCAGTTCTAATTATTCGTTAGGATTGAGATGTCATGACTTTTATTCTTTCTTAAATGTCTTCTAAAGAATAAAGAGAAAATTTACTCATTTTCAAAAATAGACTAAACCCCATTCTATCTTGCAATTATCAAATGGGTCCACTGGGCGGGGCGTGGTGGCTCATGCCTGTAATCCTAGCACTCTGGGAGGCGAGGCAGATCATTTGAGCTCAGGAGTTCAAGACCAGCCAGAGCAAGAGCGAGACCCCGTCTCTACTAAAAAAAAAAATGGAAAGAAATTATCTGGACAACTTAAAATAGAAAAAATTAGTCGGGCATGGTGGCGCATGCGTGTAGTCTCAGCTACTTGGGAGGCTGAGACAGGAGGATCGCCTGAGCCCAGGAGTTTGAGGTTGCTGTGAGCTAGGCTGATGCTATGGCACTCTAGCCTGGACAACAGAGTAAGACTCTGTCCCCCAAAAAAAGGTCCACTGAACCCTTTTATATATCTAAGAAACATTATGGAATCCTAGTGATCATATTTTTCCCTACATCTTGGAACAAATGTAAGAATTATTATAATTCATCAATTATTACAACACACTAATAACTATTTTAATCCTTAAAAATGACTAAAATAAGAAAACAGAATAGTGGAAAAGTTTTCTCAGTACATTGTCCAAAGTATTATATCATCAACTTTCAAGAAGACATCAAGCCTCTGTTGTCTGCTTTTAGCTTTCATTGAACACAGATGAGAATTTAGAATTTTTCATTTTCCACCATTATGGCAAAGAAAAAAATACTGACAGAAGGCATTTCACAATTACCAGGCGGATAAGAAGGCAAACGCAAAATGACAAGTAGTAGTATTCTAAACTAATAATAATGGTGAAATTGTGCAAAAATCTCAGACTATGAGTCCCTGTATGACGAAATACCTGATGACTTTTCTCCAACCTAAGAACTGATGAAAGACAAAGAAAAAAGAGACAAACAAGAAATATGATGCTCTCATTAGGAGAGTCATTCAGCAGGAAGGACTTACCTTCATGTGTGACTATTTTATTTAATTTCTTATGATGCTGTATGAATCAAAATATACTTGATTTGGTTTGTTAATGGGAAAAGGGTGAGGACAGGGATGTATACAAAGGTGACTAGAAGGCAAAAGATGATACAAAAATATTTAATAAAAACATTCATTGCATTGATCATTCTAATTGACTTTATAATCTAAAAATGAAAATGCTTTGCAATTATGGAAGAAAGGTAACAAACCCATCTTCAATACAAAATTGTAAGCAATCAAAGATTTCAAAAATTTCTTAAGTATTACATTCTGATGATGCCAATGCAAGAACCAGAAGTAATAAGGCTGGGCGCGACTGCTCACGCCTATAATCCTAGCACTCTGGGAGGCTGAGGCCGGTGGATGGCTCAAGGTCAGGATTTCGAAACCAGCCTGAGCAAGAGCGAAACCCCTGTCTCTACTAAAAATAGAAAGAAATTAATTGGCCAACTAAAATTTATAGAAAAAATTAGCCAGGCATGGTGGTACATGCCTGTAGTCCCAGCTACTTGGGAGGCTGAGGCAGTAGGATTGCTTGAGCCCAGGAGTTTGAGGTTGTTGTGAGCTAGGCTGATGCCACGGCACTCTAACCTGGGCAACAGAGTGAGACTGTCTCAAAAAAAAAAAAAAAAAGTACTAAAAGCTAAAACCTATTAGAAATAGGTATGAGATATGATTATAGGTTCTATGCCATGTTCTAGGTTCACACGTGACAGCTGATGAGTAATTAGCTATATTCAGAGGTTGCTAATCATTTTGGGTATACAGTTGACCCTCAAACAACATGGGTTGGAACTTCAAGTGTCCACTTATATGTGTTTTTTCCCCCAACCAAACATGGAATGGCATGTGGTGAAACCTCTGTAAATGGAGGACCAACTTTGCCTATACACGGGTCACAAGGCTGACCATAGGACTTGAGTACGCTCAGATTTGGGTATGGGGGTGGGTGGGTCCTGGAACCAATCCCATAAGTACATGGTGTGACAAATGTATAAACCATCAAAATTAGGAAAATATAGACTAGAAATCTGGGCTTGCTATTGTTAAATTCCTATTAAAATTGCTAATAAAGTTTTTCACTACTCCTTTATTCTTCTGAAAATTATTTGTAAAAGACTAAAAAGCATATAAAAAACACTAATAACAATTTCTTTTAGGCAGATGAGACTTACAGCATTGTGTCATACTGGACCCACATGCAGTTCTTCTAAATTCTTTTTGGTGGAGGGGCTTATATGCTGACATAATTTTGGCTACCTAAGTTCCAAATCTCTACTTTTCCCCATGTGACTGACTCCTCATATCTTTTTATAGGCCATTTAGTTCTTAACTATTTCTGCCTCAATATAGTTTTTAAAAAAGTACTAGTGAAGCTTCAGTTCTGATTCTCACTAAATCATCTGCTCTGTAAGCCATGACCTGACATTTAGTTGTAATTCCTTATCTACAAAGAGAGGCTTCTTTAAAATACTACCTTAAGAATAATAAGACCCGCCCAGCGTGGTGGCTGTAATCCTAGCACTCTGGGAAGGTGAGGCTGGCAGATTGCTCAAGGTCAGGAGTTCGAAACCAGCCTGAGCAAGAGTGAGACCCCATCTCTACTATAAATAGAAAGAAATTAATCGGCCACCTAATATATATATAGAAAAAACTAGCTGGGCATGGTGGCACATGCCTGTAGTCCCAGCTACTTGGGAGGCTGAAGCAGTAGGATTACTTGAGCCTTGCTGTGAGCTAAGCTGACGCCATGGCACTCACTCTAGCCTGGGCAACAAAGCGGGACTGTCTCAAAAAAAAAAAAAAAAAAAAGAATAATAAGACCTAAGAATTACAGTGCTTTATAACTTACAAATCACTTTTCACTTACTTTTTCTCAAGAGCTTCTTAACAACAGTCCATTTAATAAGTAAGGACACTGAGACACAGAGGGGCTAAGTGACTTGCTTTGATCCTTTGGCCATCCTCTACTTTTTCTTCATCATATTGTATATGACCAAACCAGGTAGAATATTGAAAGTAGTTTATTAACTACTATAAAATGTATAGAATTAAGTTAAAAACAAAACAATTATCTAAAAACCAACTTTCTGGATTCTGTTGCTATTAAAAGAGCTAACATTTTCAATGTTTACATAAATAACCATATCATTTACAATTTCTAATCCCAATGTTTTAAAAAACTCATTAAGTCCTTTCAGTTATTCCCTTCAAAGACCTTAAAGTACCAACAGTAAATACCATGTCCTCAAATGCTGCCTCTGAAAAGACAATGCTTATAGGATCTGAAAAGGTCTTAAAGACCTCATCAGAAGCTATAGCAATTACTAAATCCCTCTAACTTTGTTAAATTGCATAATATCACCAGTTTTCTGTCAAGCTAAAGGTTGTTGATTTCTGAGTCTAGCCAAACAGGTGTCTAACATCCTAACAATCAAGTCAGTTAAATACCAGGAGGAAAACAATGTAGTAACTTTTTAAATGGCTGCCAAGTTATTCAAAGCCTGGATAAATTCCTGACAAAAACTGAATTACCATACTAACAAGAAAAGAGTTAAAAACTAGCAGCCAAGAGAAGAGAGGGTATGAATAAACCACACTAGATAACCATTCATCCCCAAATCTTTACTGATTACTAATCTTTCTGCAGAGCTAAAATCGACTGCTTTAAATACCCTTAATTTGACAGTCTTCACCCCACCTTCCACCAAAAGAAGGGGTGGATGTTAAACACCATTTCGTTTGCTACAAAGTAGTATTCAGTGAGCCTTTCATGGTTCACAAAGTCAGATATTATGAAAGGCTCTGAAATGTACTCTAGAAAATAAACTCTAAACATTCAGATTTAAACAATCAATGAAAACTAGATTTCCCTTCATCATCCTTAAATAGGACCTCTCCAAACGCCCTCCAGTAATTTCCCCACGGACTTTCCCAAGGCATTTTATCCATTGTATGAAGGACCTAGTTTCACGTTTACTGGTTACCTGCAGTTTCCATGACACTGCACTAGGAGCTAGGACAATACAAAAAAGCTTAACATAAGCACCATATTTATTCATCTCTGAATTCCCAACACCTGGCACAGTAGTAAATATTTAATTTGTTACTTTACGGGACGAATGGTTTGCTATTTAAATTGGTAAGCTGGGAGGGAGTGTTTGAGGGGAAGACTAGAAGGAGGAGGAGGTACTTGACATCAAAATGGGTTGCTAGATCTCATCTTAGACTGCACCACCATACGCCAGGACCAAATTACAGCCCTGGCATATTTTTTCGGTTCAATACTGTTCTCCATTTACTCTTACTAGTACAGTTAAGAGTTAAGGTTAACTCTTAATAGTACATTGCAAAATTCATCCAGGCTGGAAAAATCTGTCCAATTGTGCACGAACATTTTGACACTGTCATAGAAAGATTTTAAACTTAAACAAGGAGTCTTGCCGTCTCTATCCTGAGTAAAAAGGCCCAAGAACGTAGCTTCATTAACCCTCGAAAACGCAAACATGAGGCTCCCTTGACTAAGCTCTTTCACTTCTTGACCCTCTCAGGGTTTAATTCCTCAATTTCCCTTCCCACACAGGTCTCCAGCAATTAGCGTGTGGACCTCCACAAACCTTCTGACTCTAATAAAGAAAGGGAGATATTTCTCATTCTTCTGGTTCCTCCCCCTCGGTCCTCCCCCTTCGGGGCCTCAGGCGCTTCCTCCTCCATCCACCCTTCCCGGCCTACCCCAGCCTTTAGTAGGCCTCAACCCTCCTCCACTCCGCCATTGTTATTTACATCGTCGTCTGGGGAGGCTGAACGCTTCACCCCATGCGGGTGAGACTCTCTGGCAGCGCTCATCTTTGTAGGGATCCCGACAGGAAATGCCGAACCCACTCGCCGTTCTCCTCAGCCGCGACACCAGCAGCCTGCAATCTACCACCGGCCCAAGCAGAGCTACTCCAGAACGCAGAGCTTCTCCGGGCCTTCTCCGCCACAGTCGTCACCGCGGCGGCCGCTCGCCACCCCGAAGCACTTTGGGAGTTGTAGTTTTCTGAGTTACTCTATACTGGCCAGAATAAAAGATGTGTGGGCGACTAAAACTACGATTCCCCGGAAGCTCAGCGGCTCAGCTCGCGCTTCGTGGCGGGAGTGCCCTCTGAGGCTCCGCCCTCTTTGGCTGGTGGAGGCAGCTTTCCCGCCGATGGGTATGGCGGTGAGCGTTGGTTGAGAGCTTCGTCGCCACAGGACTCTTGGAGTGGGTTTTCGCATTTCACCGTGAGACGTTGCCCTATCGGCAAATGCGTCCGTTGTAATTAAGCACCTAGGTTAAATTGTAATGTTTGAGGCTTATTGAATCCTCACCGAGTACCCTCCACCCAGAACAAAAACCTTTAAGAAAATGGCTTCTACCATTTCCACTCTGGTGTTCCTTCTCTGTTGCCTGTAGGGGATTTCTAGGTAACCGGTGGTGCTGCTTTCTAGAAAGTTCTGATGAATAGTTTGCTGTTTTTTCATGCTTACCAAAATGAATTAAGTATGGCGTTGAGTGTTAATTAATTGACTATTATTGAAACGGGGGTCCACCTGAGGGAATTCTGTAAGTTTTCCATAGGGATTTGTGTGAAGTGGGAGTGATGGTATCTGATGTCCCTGCTGGTGTATATTGTGCTGTTGAGGCCTTCACTGAACCAAGTCTATCTCTGTAAGAAGAGACTGCTTTTTTTTTCAAAATAATTTTTTACTGAGGTGAAATTCAGATAAAATTAGCCATCTTAAAATGTACAGTTCAGTGGCATTTAGTACATTCACAGTCTTAAGTACCCATCACCTCTATGTAGTTCAAAGATGAATCATCACTCCAAAAGGAACCCAAGTGCACATTATTTGTCCCTCCTCATTCCTTCCCCTTCCCAGCCCCGGGCAATCACTACTCTGCTCAGAAAGACCTATGTCTGAATGTATTCTTCAGATACTGGAGACTAACTCCTGTAGTATCAAGGTGTCTAAATTTTTAACCGGACCTGAACCTAACATCTTTGTTCTTACTTATCCTGAAGCTTTCTGACCTTGGTCAAAAATTTGATATTTTTTTGGCAGAGTGCAGTGCCTCAGGCCTGTAATCCTAGCACTTTGGGAGGCCGAGGATTTCTTGAGGCCTAGAGTTTGAGACCAGCTTGAGCAGGAGCGAGACCAACTCTACAAAAAAATAAATTGGTTAGGCATGATGGTGCGTGCCTCTAGCCCCAGCTACTTTGGAGGCTGAGGCAGGAGGATTACTTGAGTCCAGGAGTTTAAGGTTGCTGTGAGCTATGATGGTATCACTGCATTCTAGCCTGGGTGACAAAGCTAGATCCTGTCTCAAAAAAAATTTTTTTTTAAGTATTTTTTGAAAGCAAAAAATCAGTAAGTGGTATAATAGTACAGATATGGCATTTTGGTATTGAGAACATTCTGTGAAACAGTGATTAGCCCTCAGCTTCTGAATGCAGCAGTTATTCTAATTTGACCTTCTTTGTACAAATACTAGTCTCCCAGATTTCAGATCACTGAACCATTTATGGAACTGTGTGACCAGTGAGAGACAGCTTTTTAATAATTTATGCAGTTATAGATCCAAATTCTTTATTTTGGAAGCAGAGGAATAGCATACTATTTAGTATATGAAAAAAAAATAGGATCATATTTTGTAAGTATAACGAAGTAAAAGGCACCTTAATCTATTAGTTCTGTGATAAGAATAAATCATAAATAATGGAGGAGAAGACAAAATTCAGGAGAAAAAGCATTTTTGGAGTAGTTGCTTGCTCTTTGCTAGAATTAAAATATTTTGTCCATTAACCCCTTGATTCTACTAAGGTTCTATAAATATAATTACAATTACATTACTTTTAAGTTACAGAGTTTTGTAGGATGGACTACAGTTCATCTTAATGGGTTTGACAAACTGAAATATATACAATTTAAAACTCTTAGCTATACTATCATAAACAAATGGAATGGCTGAATAGGTACTCTATACTGCTAAAAGAATTTTTAAATAAAAAAGGACTATCAATAAGATTAGTAGTTAGTAAACAATTCTAACTTTATTAATTGGTGCAAGTCCAGAAAACTTTACTGAGCTAGCAACATGTCTTTTATTTTTTCACCAGAATTGTTGGCACTGGGATGACTGTCTTCAAGTTACCATAAAACAAGATCACAAGCCAAAAAGTAACATAGGAAAAGATAAAAACTGGATCATTTTATCAGATTTTACTCAGTTTCATATACAGAAGGCTATAGGTAAGGATGAAATTATAGAGTAATAGAACTGCATATGTGGTACAGAAACTTAGTAATGCTCTTCTTTCTTGCATTGTAAAAACAAGGAAAAGATATTCTTTATCATGAATGGAACTATGAAATGCCTTCTTTAGGATTGGGATTGTTCCATTTCCATTTTTTGTGTCTAGCACAATGCCGGCCACAGAGTTGTTAATAAGTGTTTTTCCATTAATATAGGAAGGATGAAATTATATAGTATGAGAGTGGTATCTTGAATGAGGGTCAGAAACTCAGCAATGTCTTTCTTTAGTAAAGACAAAGAGAGGAGACTAATAGAACTTGAAAATACTTTCCTAGGGTAAAGACCATGCCTTCCTCATTTTTTATCTACCCAACATTTAACATGTAGTGGACAGTCAAAAATGTTTATTGAGGCCAGGCACGGTGGCTTACGCCTGTAATCCTAGCACTCTGGAGGTCGAGGCGGGAGAATTGCTTGAGTTTAGGAGTTCCAGACTAGCCTGAGCAAGAGCGAGACCCCATCTCTACTATAAATAGAAAGAAATTAGCCAAACAACTAAAAATAGAAAACATTAGCCGGGCATGTTGGCACATGCCTATAGTCTCAGCTACCTGGGAGGCTGAGGCAGGAGGATCGCTTGAGCCCAGGAGTTTGAGGTTGCCATGAGCTAGGCTGATGCCACGGCACTCTAGTCCAGGCAAGAAAGTGAGACTCTGTCTCAAAAAAAAAAAAAAAAAAAAAGTTTGTTGAGTACATTCTCTCAACCAAGGGTAGTCATAATTGAGCATACTTAACAAACCTGAAGAAGAAATAAAAACTTTAAAGAATATGGTCTTAGCTGAGCACAGGGGCTAATGCCTGTAATCCCAGTGCTTTGGGAGGCCAAGGCGGGAGAATTGCTTGAAACCAGGTGTTTGAGACCAGCCTGGGCAATGTAGCAGGACCTCATATCTACAAAAAATAAGAAAAATTAGCTGAACATGGTGCACCTGTAGTTCTGGCTACTTGAAAAGCTGAGGTGGGAAGATGGCTTCCAGGTTATAGTGAGTTATGAGTGTGCTGCTGTGCTCCAGCCTCAGCAACAGAGCAAGACCCCATCTCTGGGAAAAAAAAAAAAAAAAGAATATGCTCTGTACAAAAACCCTGCTGCTGTTTTATCTGAGACTAAAGAAAAAATTCCTAGGGCCATAATTAGAGCTATCATTTATTGAATTCCCACCATGTACCATGTACTTTGGTAGGTGTTTTTATAGGTGCTTTTTATAATTGATCTAAAAATTTTATAATTTTCAAAATGTAGGTAATTTTAGGTAATGAAGCTTAAGAAAAGTTAATGCTTGCCTAAAGTCATATAGCTAGTGAGTGCATGACTAAACTGGGATTCAATCCTTAAATCTGTCTAACCCCAAAAGCACTTTCCAACCTGCCAATATAATCCAACACTTCTATATGGTGTTTACTCAGTATGTATTAGCAAGTATGCCAAATTTGAGGAAAACCACAATAAATAATATATATTCCCTTATCTCAAGGACTTTACAGTTTGGAGAGGAATGATTAAGTGGCATCAGTAAATTATAAATAAAATGCTATGGAAACAGTTTGTTTTGGCTGAGGGAATGATAAACTTATTCCCAAAGTTTTTGGGCTAGGCCTTGAAAAACAGTGGGGGCCGGGTGGGGCTTGTATTTAGTAATGGATAGTGTCTAGTATGCTGAAACTTGATAAGCATGAAAGTATTATATTCTGAGACAAAACTCTGTAGGCTAATCAAAGTCAGGCTATGAAAAACCTTGAGTTTGAATCTCTCACTACATGTGTTCAGGTTAAAATCATCCCTTTCATAGGTTTATATGACCTCCCCGCCTCTAATCCTGCAGTCCCCAAGTCCCTGGCCACGCTGCAAACCTCTGCTGTTGACCCCTTCTCAGGCTTCCCCATCATGAAACTGGTCCCTGGTGCCAAAAAGGTTGGGGACTGCTGATTTAACACCCATAACAATGCAAATGATTCTTGTTCTTGGCAATGCAAATGGATTTTTATCCAGTAGAGAATATAAATCTCTGTAAATCAAATTCTATAATGAATTGGTTTTAACTTCTTACTGGTTTCCTTATTAATTACTAAGTTACAAAAAATTACTAAGTTAAATAATATCTCTGACACTTAACATCTTTATTCATGTTCTTTATATATTTGTATGAGAATCATGATTTTATAATTTTGGAAATTATACTTTAAAATTATTTATATAATACAAGTATAAGTAGTTAAATATAAGTGTGCATATGTATGGATTTTTTTAAAGTATCTATATGGGGCTGGGTGTGGTGGCGCACACCTGTAATCCTAGCACTTTGGGAGGCTGAGGGGGGAGGATTGCTTGAGGCTAGGAGTTCCAGACCAACTTCAGCAAGAAGCAGACCCTGTCTCTACCAAAAAACTAGAAAAATTAGCTGGGCACGGTGGTGCATGCCTGTAGACCCAGATATTCAGAAGGCTGAGGTAGGAGGATCACTTGAGCCCAGGAGTTTGAGGTTGCAGTGAGCTATGATCATATCACTGTACTCTAGCCCAGGTGACAGAGAGAGACCCTGTCTCAAAATAAAAAAAGGTACCTATATGATGTGCTGAAAAGATTCAACAGGACTTTTTTTTTTAAACTAAGAGTAATATTTTCCCTTTTCACAAACAATGCATGTACATTGATGATAAATTAATATATATTTATAAGC